CTTGAGTAGCTGGGACTACAAGTGCCCACCACCACGCCCGGCTAATGTTTTCTATTTTTAGTAGAGATGGGATTTCATCGTGTTAGCCAGGATGGTCTCGATTTCCTGACCTCGTGATCCACCCACCTCGGCCTCCCAAAGTGCTGGGATTACAGGCCTGAGCCACTGTGCCCGGTCGACATGATTCTTTAGTAAGTTTTAATGATAATGATAATGAATATGTTTGAGGTTCACCCTTTTAACTCTCTATTTGTGTCCAGTCAAAATTCACAATGCCAGCAACACAATAGTTTCTAGTCCCAAGACCCACTGAGAAAAACATGGATTCTTTAAAAGGTAAAATACATATTCAACATAATGCTGCACTCTCTTCCCCTCCCCGCTCAAAGGCTGACACTACTAATTCACCGCTGGTACTTCCTGTGGGTTGGGAGACAGCTGTAGCTGATATTGAGCTTAAAATCAGATGGTTCAGACATTGAACAATTTCTGCATTAGTTGGTAAACAGCTGTGGCCTGGAAGGCTCCTTTTGGACCTCCCTACGCTGACCCAGCAACTAAAGAGCTAACACCCAAATGAGCAGGGCGCCCGGAAGATCCCGGAAGGGTTGGGGTGAAGGTGAGGGTTGGGCAGGGCAGGGTTGGCCAGCACCACAGCTGGCTGTTTGTGCTAATTGGTGGATTGTTAACTGTTTTGAGTATCACTGGGGCACAGTTTAAGAATCTTTCTCAGTACAAGGCTCCAGGCAGACGTTACTGACTTAATCAAAGTTGGCACTTTAGATGAAACCTATTTATCACCCCTAGATTAAGGTCTTATCTCCCTTAGGGATATTTGCTTATAAACAGTATGCTCTGAAGGTTAAAGAACCTCCAAGTCTTCAGGAACTGGACTTCTACAGCTGTAACTTCAAGTACCCTCCTTGGACAGAACTGGGGGCTGAGGTTTCAAATCACAGTTCCTGATCTGGATTGGCTTTGACGTTTGAACATGAGATAGGGTAATCAATGGGGACAGGCACTAAAATGAACCCTAAGACCCTCCCACCATTGCCAAGGCTTCTAGCACAACAGGCCTGCATTCAGTCTTGGCATTCTGCCGTGTAGAAGCCAGGGACATCAATGGTTTCATTGCTACATGTTTTCATTTTTGTAGAAATCACGCTGCCTATAGATGGCAAAACTAGCTTAGCATAAAAGCAGCATGACTTGTGCCCTTAAAACTATTAAGTAAAAATAATTTGCCAGCCAGGCGCCGTGGCTCACTCCTGTAATCCCAGCATTTTGGGAGGCCGAGGCAGGTGGATCACCTGAAGTCAGGAGTTTGAGACCAGCCTGGCCGACCATGGCGAAACCCCGTCTTTATTAAAAATACAAAAAAATTAGCCAAGTGTGGTGGTGCATGCCTGTGATCCCAGCTACTTGGGAGGCTGAGGCAGTGGAATCGCTCGAACCTGGGAGGTGGAGGTTGCAGTAAGCCGAGATTGCACCACTGCACTCCAGCCCAGGCAACAAGAGAGAAACTCTATCTCAAAAAAAAAAAAAAAAAAATTGCCATAGTAATATGTATTTTTCCTTTTTAGTAAGTGGCAAAGTACCCCTGATTTTGAAACATGTATGGTCATGATATCAAGAGTGACAACCTGGGCAAAAGATAGCTATTGCAAAGAAGAAGGGCCTTTAGGGAAATGGAGCAGAAAGAGGAAGCAGTAAGATATTGTCTTTGGAGTCAACAACCATATATGGATTGGGTGGTCCAGAGGAAGAATGTGGCAACCTCCCACAAGGGCTGTCGGCGCTGCTGTGGTGGGATGGGCAGGAATGATTTCTCACTCCAGGATCACTCCGTTTCCAATGAAAGACTTTCAGAATTGTCACAGTTCTTATTTTTCCAGTGAGGTGATTGAGGTCCAGAGGAATTAACTGACTTGTGCAAGACCACACAGCTAGCCCAAGATCCATTCAGAGCCAAGAAAGAGTCCTGAGAGCACATTCTAGTTACCTTAGACAACATGTCAGTGCAATTCATCAATTTCTTGATCATCCAGAAGTATCATTAGAAACACCAACCATATAACATTGTAATGTGGGGCTGGGTGAGGATATAGATCTATTTGCTTCTACACTAAGTGGCCTCATTTAGTGCTATTTTGGAGTCTGCTCTTGGTACTTCCTAGGCTGTCTTTATCATCGTCAGTCACCTACTGTGCCTGCTTCAAACAAATCTTCCAACATCTGCTTCCACACACTGTTGAAAGTACGTTAGTAATTTAATTTTATGTAACACTTCTTCCAACTCGCTAGAAATCTTGCCAATGCAGTCTTGCCCGCTCCCCGTGAGGAGCCACCTCTTTCTCTTCTGCAGTCTCTGGACCTCCTGTATCCCTTGTGGGCAATGCATTGTTCTAGGAGGAAGCCACCTACTATTTCACAAAGAGCAGGGCCCAAATCCTGTTACGAACAGTGTGGCTGTGGACAAAGTCCTTTGCCTCTCTGAGCCTGAGTTAAGTCTCTGCGCTAACATGTGTCTCTCAGGGAGAGTGGGAGGCTTCAATGCCTGCATAGAGCTGTCTTTTAACAAATGCTAGTTTCCTGTCTTTGTTTAGAGGCATGTCCCCCCCTTCTGCCTTACATTGTGGTTGGTTCCAGGCGTGTTTGTGCTCTTCAGTAGGATCCAGAGTCCTTAGGTTGGTGACTATGTTTCCTAATTCGGGATCCCCCTGTGCCAGGCATAGGCTTGCTGTAGGCTCTCCATTAGTGCTTGTAGAGTAGGTAATATTGTAAGTCATTAAGTTCTGGTCTGAGGCAGGTGTGTAATGGCCACATACTCTCTTGCGGGCTCAGGGGTACAGGTCCTCAGAGGTCTTTTTCCTTCTGTGTACTGGGAGGAGCTGTGACTGCAGCTCTGAGCTCCATACAGGTGGACTTTTTTTTTTTTTTTTTGAGACAGAGTCTCACTTTGTCACTCAGGCTGGAGTGCAGTGGCGTGATCTCTGCTCACTGCAATCTCTGCCTCCCAGGTTCAAGCAATTCTCCTCCCTCAGCCTCCTGAGTAGCTGGGATTACATTCCCATCCAGCTAATTTGTGTGATTTTAGTAGAGACGGGGTTTTACCACGTTGGTCAGGCTGGTCTCAAATTCCTGACCTCGTGATCTGCCCGCCTCAGTCTCCCAAAGTGCTGGGATTACAGGCGTGAGCCACCACACCCGGCCAGACATTTCTATAAAGGATGATCCCTCTTTGGAAAGTGGCCTCTTTGCAGAAGGCCCTTCTCCGAAGAGGGAATAAGATTCAGGGAGCCAACTTCAAAGCCCATGCAAAATGAGCCAGTCTGCTCCATCCCGGTGGGCACAGTCAACGGGGCAAGAGCCCCCCCAAGGCTGCATCTCCTTCCTTCCCAGGGAAGCCATGATTTTGAGTGACTTTCAGTGTTTCTTAGCATTTGGGCAGTCTCTTGATTCCTTTGCAGAAGGTTTTGTTGTCAGATCAAGAGCACCTGCTCCCTTTATGCCCAATTGGTTGTATAGATGCAGAGGGGGCAGGTGGAGGCAGAAAGAAGTGGTGAGAGAAGCCTTGAGAATGGAGATGAGGGTGCTCCCAGAGAGAAGGAAAAGTGGATAAAAGAAGCCTGGCTGTGCTCCCTGCACCTGAGTTCCCTAAGATTCTTCCCTTCCTGACAACAAATCTTCTTTCTCCTTGAATCAATTTGAGTGGGCTTTGGTGCCTGTCAATAAATAGGCTCCAACTAACTTCTGTTTTAAATCCATTGGGGTCACATGGTAAGTTTTTTGAGAGTGGAACCACATTTCTGTTCTTATCTTCCCCCGAACACACAAGTAATGCTGGAGGCAAAGTATTTGTTGGTTTAATGAATAATGCGCCTGGGTAGCACCGTGCTGAGCGCAAGGAGAGTGTCTGCCCCCAGAAATTTCAAGAATTGCCAGAACATTTGAAGCAGGAAGGCTGGTCCTTTAAATATGTCATAAGCCCCATTTATGGTGTGTTCTGCAGCAGTTTTGCAAACACAGGAAAATCCATTTGAATCCAATATTCTCAGATTACCCTGTTCATTTGGTAGTTAGAATATATTATCCTCATAGATTATTTCAGATCCTTGTTTTCAGCCCTCTCTGAACCTCCTCCAGATCACTGCTAGTGAGACATTTGGGTAAAGTTGTAAATGCATTTGCTGTATCTTTTTACCTAAGTATTTCCAGCAGGTTTTATGGAGCTTGTAAATATGAACTGATTTTCTTTTACATAAGTGAGTCAGCCTTATTTTTGTCTAAAGTGGACTTTACGAACCTGCATGAATTAGAATAAACACTGAACCCAGCAATCAGTTCTATATTTAGTTCTTATTAGCTAGGCTGTGTGTGTGCGTGCGCGTGCACGCACGTGTGCACATGTGCAAGCATACAGAATATTAAGAAAAAAATTAAAGGTGAGTACTTCTGTGATGTGTGAAGCTGGTTAACCCATGTATGTGGCCTGGAGAGAATTCCTGGTCAGGTAGAAATAGGGCCAATGGCTGAGGGATCCCTTTCTCTGCTGAAAGTCACTGTTTCTTTATTTGAATATAGGGGAAAATAATATTACATCTCAGGATAAATGTGCAAATCAAAGGAAGCAGGGAATGTGGAAGGACCCTGCATAGTTACTAGGGTCTAGCTGGTATTCAGTAGACATGTAGCACTTACAGAATCTCAGCCCTCAATGGACTTTAAGGTTCTAGAGGGCTGAGGCTCCTGCCTCCTGCTATGTCCCTGACAATTCCTAGGAAGCCATGTGCCAAATAAGTAATAGTATAATAAGAGTTTATTACATTGAATGAAAGAATGTTGCTTGAATGTTAATTTGGTCAGAGTCCTACCAGAGAATTCCCAGCCAAACAGTATTGTCTTGGGTCATCATAAGTAACAGAGCAGCAAGGTTGACAGACAGCAGAAAGGTGGCAGAGGATGAGTCTCCAAACCTAGCTGCTTGGGTTGGTACTCACTCAGGTATTTAAGAGCTATGTGACCTTGGACATGTCATTTAGCCTCTCTGAGTTGTGGTCTCTTCACCTGTAAAGAGGGTAGAATGGTAACATTAATGCCCCAGGGACAATATAAGTCTATAGAATATATATAAAATGCTTGGAACTGTGTCTGGTGCAGTGTTTGTTGTTGTTACTATTGTCATTACCATTTACTTATTATTGTTCTTAGTGGTTAAAAGTGTGGACTTTGGTTTGAGTCTTGGCATTGCCACTTACCACTAACTTTGTGACCTTGGACAGTTTCTCTATTTCCTCATCTGTTATTTGAGGGTGTCTCTTACTTCCTGGGGTTACTGTAGGATCAAATGAGACAATATGTGCAAAGCACTTAGCATGGGGTCTGTCACAGAGAAAGCACTTCATCGATGTTATCTATTATATCATCTTGAGAACACTATTCATTCATCAAATATTTCTGAAGCCTGTGCTGAATGTAGGCTTGGTACCAGAATAAAATTTCTTCCTTCTTTAATAAGGAAATGTGCACATCTTTTCTGTTTGGGAGGAACATTTACTTCCTCTCTCCTAGTCAAAAGCATTGTAATATTGTACAAAAATCTGGAGGAGAATAAGGGGTGAGGGATCCCCTAGAGGGATTTGACTCCAGGAGTCACCGTGCTCATGAAGAAGCCCCAGCAACAAAGCATTTGCATACCCAGGACCTGGGACTGCAGCTCACAACACACAACAACACACAACCAAGAGAGAACAGAATTGAAATTAAGGTGAGAGTTTCTTCTGTGGCACTGGTTGGTTGTTGTTGATGGAGAAGTGTGTGTTTGTCCCTGTGTTCTAACTTGTACAACTTTATGACAGCCTGGTGGGAGGGAGCATGGTACTCTTGAGAGGAAGCATTGGTTGAATATTTTAGAGCTGTGTTCACTATAACTCATTAAAAAAACAATTAACTAGAAAGGGAAAGAGAGATTTCCCAGGATTCCTACAATGATGGTGTGTTAATTTTATTAGCAGGTCAAAAAATATATTTTTAGAAATAATGACTATCACAGTAAAACTTACACAGTGATTATTGCATGCCAGGTTTTATTTTGAATTCTTTCTACATATAAATTTCTTTAATCCTAACAACCAGCTTCTGGTTAAAAGATACTATTACTATCTCCAGTTTCCAGAAGTGGATACTGCGGCACAGAAATGTTGACTATTAATAACTTGTCCAAGATCATATGTCTGGCCAATGGTAGAGATTCTGCCCAAGAAGTCAGGTGCTAAAGTCTAATTCTTTTTAGCCAAATTCTGTATCACTTTCTAGAGTAAAAGCCTGGGATAGGGAAATTGAGACCCAAAGAGGTTAAGTAACTTGCTGAAGTCAGACAGCTAAGAAGTAAGAGAGCAGGGAATCAAACTCAGCTCTTTCTAGGTTCAATGACTGTACCCTTAGGAGTTATTCATGTTTTTTCTCTTTCCTCATTCAGTTTCCTAACAGATTATCATGAAGGCTTAGTGAGACAAGGTATGTGGGTATGTTTAGCAAACTATAAAGCAACATACAAGCTGTTGTTTGTAAATTAGATTGAAGAACTAGAGGGGAAACAGGAAGAAACTCACCTTGCATTTGAGGCGCAGCAGACAGACCTACACCCTTGCAGCGAGGAGATAAATTAGTAGCGATGCAAAGGAAAATCAGGTGGGATCTTAAAACCAGACAGAGTGGAAGAAGGGAACATTTCTTTTTTAGTGCTAAATGTGCTGAGTGATAAAAGCAACAGACCCAGCGCTTTGCTCTCTGTGACCACGGCTCAGAACCCAATGCTGTTAAAACAACATCTTCAGAAACAACAGTAGCAACTTCATTTTAGCCAAAGACTAAAATACTTCCTTCTTCTCACCGAACTTTCCTTTCTTCAAGCAGTTTCCGAGCATTTCTCCAGGTGATTGGCTCTTTTCAGACACCTCTGCAGAAGGGTTCTAATTTGCATCACCTTATGGAAATCTTCATCTTGAGCTACATGGCTCCTCTGGGCTGTAGTGAGCCCACAGAATCGCACTTACTGATGATCTGAAAGTGGTACAAAGACTGACAGCTCTTCCCTCCCAATTATAGCCCCCCTTTCCCAAAATACTGGCATCTGCCAAAGCCCCAGTTGTTTTCCATGGGGGCAAAATTGCCTCTCTCTCTCCTCAAGCTAACTTTAATTGTACATTCCTTTCATCTGTTCAAAATCTGATTTAAATATGAATTCCTAGAACAGAAATATCCAGCACTCAAAAGATTGTAACCTCGTTACAGTTTGTCCAACCACACGGTGGTCATATTATTCTCCTCTATTTGGTGATGTCTTGTCAAAAGAGACTAAATGACAATGTTTGGTAAAATAGCAACATTAATCACAGTCAAAGTGATTTATTATTAATCTACCATACTGTGGCTGTCCCTTGGTTATTTGTGAATATGTATCAAGCCCAAACTTTGAAAATTTGATAATTGGTTTCTTGCAGTTTCATTATTTCTCCCTTCTCTCTGAGTTTGATGTGTGTGGAAAGTTTTTCAAATATGTGTCCAGGAAATGAATCTTGGACTCAAAAACAGGCAGAGCAAGAAAAAAAGCCTTGGTTATTAGTTTAACAAATAGTTATTGAATGTCTTAACTGTGTTAGGTATAGCCCAATGTGCTGAGAATATAGCAGTGAACAAGGACATAGTCTTTGTCCTCACAAACTTACAGGCTAGTGGGGCAAAAACCAATGAAAGAACAAGAAGAGACATATACATTTTATACATTGCAATAAATCCTTAGAATGAAAAAAGCAGCCATATTGCAAAAGAAAATTATGAAGGAAAAACTTAGAGAATATTCTGTGATGACTCAACTCCAAAACTTAGTGTTGTGGATGAAAAAAAAGGTCAGGCATAACACCCACGTGTTTGGCCAACCCACAGTTGAAGCAGGTGCTACTTCTTCGACAATATGCTAGTAGATCTAGCAGTAAAATATACCATATGCTTGTGGTGAGTTTTCTGAGAGAATTTGTCTTGAAGATATGTAATATGTATACAGTTAATACATTCCTCGGAAAATGCTAAAAAACATTCTGGTACTCCTCTTTTTTGGATTGCTATGGCCAGGATGCTGTGGACCATGGAGTTCCTCTCCCTCCTCCTAGACACTGACTCCAGATTCTTGTAGTGAAACTCATTTTCATGCATTGGGTAGATAAGTCCCCTAAAGTTGGGATCTGATGCCTCTCAGACTCAATATCCAGGAGAAGAAATATGAATAGAAGTAGAAAAGTAGGATAGCACGCTACTGACAAAAGTAGGAAGAAGTGCTCCATCACTTTCCTCAGCAGGTACACTAGCCCAGTGACTAGTCTCAATTCACTAGTGAAGACCCACCATTTTCCTCCATTTCCTGTTTCTGCTCATGATTCTCTTTCCATGCGGGAATCCTTAAGGATGGAGCCAACTTCTATTAACTTTGTTGTTTGGTCTTATTTTGCAGGTGGCAGTTTCTAGCAGCTTGTTACAAAACCTTGAGGTATCATCCCTGAACTGACTCAGGTGCCACAAACCCCTCATAAATCCCACATTGTATTGTCAGAGTCCTTATCACACAAGATCAATAGTTATTCTCTTACATAAAACCCCATCAAGGGTCTCCTATAACTTGTTATACTAAGATCAAGCTAGATACAACAAGAGTTTCAGTTTTCTACTGCTCTGTAACAAATGATCCTAAAACTCAGTAACATAAAATAATGATTTATGATTATCTCTCATTATTCTGGAATTCATGGGCTCAGCTGGGTGGTTTTTGTTTGTAATCCTTCATATAGGTTCACCCAGAAGGTGTCATCTGAAAACTTCTTCACTCACATGTCTGGTGCCTGGACTAGGATGGCTGGATCAGCTGGGGCTGGTCAGACATCAGTTACTTTATGCAGCACCTCTATGTGGCTAGCATGGGCATCCTCATAGCATAGTGGTCATAGTGTAGGCAGGCTTCTAACATGACCACTGGCTGCATCAGAATTGGTGTTGCCAGTGAATATGGAATATGGAATATGGAATATGGAAGCTGCCAGTCTCTTAAGGCCTGGGCCTGGAAACTAGCATAAGGTCACTTGTGTCACAGTCCGTTGATCAGACACCGTCACATTCAAAGGCAGGGGATATATATTCTTGCCTTTTAAGGGAATGAGTGTCAAAGAATTTGTGGCCATCATCAATCTGTCACAAATCTATTGCCCCTTTTATATGAGAGCCTTTAATATATATGAAGAAAGCAAATATAGACCATTATATTTTTTCTTTACAGGCCATATTCACCAGTTCCTTTAACCTTCAGATCCTTCACATCCTTGCCAACTCCTATATGTGTTCCAAATTGTCAAAGTCTCACGTAAAACATGGTTTTCAGGTCTTGATTCATTATCCCTGATGTAGTTGTTCCAGTACAGAGGAATGGACTGATCACCATCTCTTTTCTGGAAAATATAATTCTATGTATGCAGCCTAAGTCAGCATTTCTTTTGTTTTTATTAGCCATGTTATACTTTTGATTCATATCAAGCTAAAATGACATTTTAATTATAAAAAGTAATTGCAGCAAATGTGTAAAATATGAAACAACACAAAGAGAAAAATAAGATCATCTGTATTCCTACCACTGAGAATTAACCACTGCTACCTTTCTGGCTTTTTTTCCTATTAATACCTGTGCATAAGTGTGTGTATTCTGTGCCCTGCTTGTTACCCACTTAACAAAATATTATGGGCATTTTCCCCACATGAGTATTTGTCTTCTGTAGTGGCGACATCATATCACATTTTGCGGTCAAGAGAAATATTTACATCTTTTTCGGTTGAAATGCAGTTAATCCAGATTGTCTTCGTTCTGTACTTCTGTAGTTTTTAATATTAACCTAAATGTAGGACTTTACCTTTTTTTTTGTTAAAAATTATATGGTTGCTTTTAAGGTAAATTATTACAGTCGGTTATAACCTTTCAAGTCTCGATTTTATCAACAAAACTTTCCCAGATTTCTGTAATTTAAAAATCAGTGAGTATTATAATCACTGATATATAATTAAAAATAGGATAGAGCCTCCTAGCGTTTCCCTGGAGACCACCCTCCAAGTTTCATTACTCCATTGATCAAACACTCTTTGGCTCTGATCAGTTAATCATCTGAGTAGTACTATCATGTGACTTGTTTCCCCATTTGAAAACAAGAATTTTCAACACTAGGAGAAAAGACTGCCAATCATTTTGCCATTTGAATATATTCTATCTGTCATGTTCCCTTTTATGTCCATCTCATAATTTTATTAAAGAAAAGAGATTGGAGTGATTTGGCCTAACTTCTTTTTGGATCCATGCTGTTGTCTTTTTCTATTGTGTTTAAAAACCAACAGTTTAATTTTTCAATGATTAAATATATATCCTTGGACTATAGATAACAAAACCTATTTTTAAAAATCCAGATGCATTTCCAATTACCCACAGTCCTTCAAAGTGCACCTCCTGTGACTTGACATTCTCATCTTTAAGTCCTTTAAGTTCACTTCAATGTGGCTCAGTTGGGAAAAGCGATTTGGACCCACTCAAAGCAGTGATGAGCTTTCTTCTATCTTATTTATCTCAGATTTCTGAACCCTGAAAAAACATTTGTTCTACCCTCTTTGTATGAAGATTATTTTCCCTGTAAGGGTCAAGGCAAAATAGAAGTAGAAGTAGAGTAGTTGTGCTTTCTCTCTATCTCCTGTTCCCATTACCCCCTCTGCTTCAAGTAATGGATCCATTTTTTTTCCTCTCTAAATTACCTGAGCGCTCACACATCTTGAGATTCTCCAGAGTGACTAACATCATGCCTTACTTGTTATAGGTGTATTAGAACTCTTTTGGTTGCAAGGGACAGAAATCCAACTCAAACTTGCTGAAACCAGAAAACCTTTTGGAAACAGAACTATACAATGACTTGATTCAACATCAGACAAGCTTTCAATCCAGCTAGCTGTAGAGATGCAAATAATACCATCAGGACTTGGATTCTCTCTCTCCATCTCTATAAGGTGCATCTCTCCCTGATTTCACTTGGAGAAAGTCTCCCTCCACATAGGAGCTCCAGAATTACATCTTCACAGTGCCAAGCCCTGGGAAAAACAAAATTATTCTTACTTGGTTGCCCAAGCACAAGTCCCAGGGTCAGCTCTATTTGACTCGGTTGGCTTGAATTATGTCATGTGCCCATTCCTGAGCCAATCACAATGACCCTGAGCTTATTACTCTCTGGTTGGCCTCACCTTGGTCACTTGCCTACCACAGTGCTTGGGCTACAGTGAACTCTACAATAAGGAACAGTGAGAGAGTGAGCTGGATGGACAACAAAGAGAAGTTGGATGGACAACAGAAACTGCCTAATGTGAACTAGGACCATGGAGGAGATGTCAATCAAAGCAGAAATAAGGGGAGAAATGCCCTGACTGCTCTCTCTTAGTCCTCCAGTCTCCCAATATTGCCTCTCATTGGCTAGTTCAGAAGGCAGCTGGCAAGAAGTCTGGAAAATGTCATTTTCAGGACAAAAGAGAGGAATGTATCTGACACCGAGGAGGCAAATGAATGACACCTTCCTTGTAGCAAGAAATAAAGATTGAGATTGCTTTCCCATGGAAAATTAGCAGGTTCTTAATCCTTTTCTTTGCTATAGTAGAAGAATTTGAAGCCTTTCTGCTATTGAGGAAAGGGAGGCTCAGTTTTTCAGATTTTGTCCATAGGTCCTAGAGGCTACTGAGACAGCCAGGTGGGAGGAGGTTCCCAGGGAAACTCCAGCCAGCCTGCACACTGGGGTGGAGCCTCAGGAAGTTCACAGTTTGCAGCAGGAAGGAGCCTGGCCCCTCCTCTTCCTGTTTGGAACCTGGGATTAGAACACATGGCAGGAAGGGCGCTAGCAGGGACTCTGGCCTAGTGAGAGTCCTTGTTTCCCCCTTTCTTCCTTTTCACCCAGTAAAGCCCTGTCTTACCATTCAAATTGTCTACGAGCCTGAATTTTCATGGCTGTGGGACAAAGAACCCTATTTTTAGCTGAACTAGGAAGTCCTGCAACATTTTTGGCACCCAACATGAGACTCGAGAAACAGTGAGTGAAATGGGGACTCAAAACCTCTCACTGTTGCTTCTAAACCTTTTCATCCTCGGACTTCTGAACGTGGGGGAACCATGCCCCTACCCCCTGTCACTCCTGGGCCTTTTCATGGCCTTTTCTTTCCTTTTTCAGGAGCTAACCAGCAAGCAGCAGCTCCCTGCCACTGCCCACTCCCTGCCAGCGCCAGGACACATGGCCCAAGGGTCCCACACAGTTGGCTGGCTAGTTCCAAGCCACAAGCTGCCAGAGCCTACCCCTTCCCCAGTCAATGGGTTTTACTCCATTGGGCAGTAATTAAACTTAAACTTTTCTCCCTGGTGGAGGAACCTGTTGCATAAGTATAAGAGGTTCTTCCCCAGGCATTTTAAAACTGTTTCTTTTCTTTCTTCTTCTTCTTCACCCTGTCTGCAGTTAAATTTTACATATTTTTTTTAGGAGATGTTTTACTAGGCCAGCTCTGATCAACTGTCACTGTGTGTAGTCCCTTGGAAGTTTTGGTTGTGAAATCAAGCCTCCATCTTGTTTTACATCCTGAGGGCACGACTTGTAACTCCTGTGGCAAGGCTTTGTTTAGCAATTCTGCCTTAGGGAATAAGTTTCTTTCTGGTTTGGAATCTGCATGTTTTCCTAACTCTGTCTCCTGAAGGACCCCATCCAGCAACTGGGTTTTCTTCTGCCTGTCTGTGTATGTACTATGTGTGATGTCTGTGAAAAGAGCCTTAATACTTTGGCCTAAAGGAAAACAAGTGCTTGGATCTAATATTTTTAAAAGGGAATATAAAATCTGTTGTACCTTTCAGTTCATGTGACTTTAAACTTTGAGAAATAAAAGCAGTGCTAAAGACTACCGGTAAAACGCAGGTCAGATGCAAGGTTTGTTAAGTGTTTTGAGGTTACAAACTGCTTTTTGGGTTTTGAGAACTATTTGACTTGTGGGCTTCACAATTGGTAAGGCCTGGGGACATATGGAATTAACCATGCCCTTAACTAAGAAGGCAAACCTTGGCTGCAGTTAGCACACATTTAAAGCAACTTACCAAGTTTTACCTTAAAGTTAAAAATTGCTAGGAGTAAATTGAAACTACTAGAAATAGATTTACATGCAAGGTGTGTAAGAACAGTAAAATGTGTTTTTTAGTAAACAGTTATCAGAAGCCATGGAAATATAAACTTTTGCCTAGGGTTAAAGGATTGTTTTGAGTTAAATTAGGAAAAAGCTGAAGTTTCAAAGAAGTGGCAGAAGAATTGTGGAAATTAATCTTCAGAAGAGGTTCTCTGTGTGAAGATATTGACTAAATTCAAAAAGGGGTATTATATGGTTTTTCTGTTAATTGAGCATTAAAATAAAAGCATAACAAGGTTTTCCTAAAGTGCTAACCTGCTCTTTGGCAAAATTTGTAAAGGGTTATAAAAGGTTTTTCTTCTTTAAAATTTCTGAGTCATCATTTTGGCAAAATAAATAACTTAGGGTAATCTGTACTTCTATTTCATAATATCAAGTGTTTTCAACCTCAAAGATATTTAACAGGCTTCCCCAAATCAAACTTCAGTTTCAAAATTGTCTTTCCTGAAGCCTGGCTTTTTGGATGTTTCAGAGGGCCCCGGAAACATTCAGAAAAAAGAGGTAAACAGGATTATTTGACATGTTTAGGTCCATGGGATTGCCAAAATGATGCTCGATCTTCTTTAGGTTGTATTTTTGGAAATAATGTTAATATATGTTCCACAATTTTATGGAATTTAAAACATTCTAATGTCCAAAGTATATGCTGTCAATCATAATTAAGGTTGTTAAGCTAAGTTATTGTAAACCATGGCGATAACCAAACTTCTTTGTCAATCGTGTTTCTAACTGTAACTACCCTGGACATTTTGCTATTCATATAC